TTATTATTACTATTATCATTTTAGCCATTCCAACCAAGAAAAAATTCAGCAAAAGATAAACGTATTGTTAGATTCATGGAAAAAGATAACCGACAACAAAAACTAAAACTTGACTCACCGCTTATTTATGAAGAAGTATTAGGCACACCGGGGGAAATCATTAGACGTAAAGATGTATTGTCACCAGGTATTTCTTTGAAGGAAGCATTTGATGTCGGTTTTACTATACATCGAATGGAAGAAGAGAGTGCTAGAAAAAGAAAGTTGAAGGCTATGAAACCAAATAATGCATTTTCAACATTCACTGCCAAATTAAACCCTTATACAACCGATAGTGATGATGAAAGTGAAACAGCATCATCACCAGAAAAATTATCTGTCATCGGTTCTAAAAATACCACCGCTTCTACCACCTCCAGTACTACCAGTGGTAATAAGGCTACTACAAAGCAACCGGTTAAAATGAAAACAGGAACAGGTGTTGGATTTTCTCAATCACTGGGAACAAACAAACATGCTAAAGAAACATCAAGACGTAAAGCGTTTGAGTTAAATATGGAAGGTGCGACTTTATTAGGGAGAAGACGAAAAGCTTTAGAGGCAGGTGGTATTTAAAAGATTGTGCATAATATATCGAAGACTTGAGAAACTTTATAAGCTTATTTAAATTACCCCAAGGAGAAGAAGGACAAGAAAGAATTGAAGATGTAACAGATATCATACAAAAAGTTCACAAAATATCAATATCTGGATGAAACGTAAGAAATATAAATTAATAAGTTGATGATTTCAGATAGAATATTTAATATGCCACCATAATGAGACAGGTTAAAATACATCGATTGTAAAAAGCATAATGAGTTTTTTCATACGGCTGTTAATGCTGCCTCAAGACGGGTGGTGTTTACTTCATCGACAATCACTTTACTGACGGTTAGTTTACATGCATCATACCAATGATAAATGAGGTGATAGTGGTGATGGTGATAAATTGTCGATGAAATAAGTCAGACCCATCTCAGCAAGAAAAGAAGACAGACTTCATTTATTTCTCAATTTCACTACCTCCTCCTTTACCAGTTGGAATTCCTGGTTTAAATTTATAGTTTGGATAGATAAATATAATTCCCAGTTAAATTCAAGGAAAAAGAACTAAATGGCGACAGCAATAATAAGGCATTTCTGATAACATTTATTTTATATAATGTAGCAAATCAAACTAAAATTTAAAGTTTCAATTGCTCCATTTTGATTAGAAAGAATCCTTTTATTACATGGTTCTATATTAGTAAAGTCAAGGAATTCTTAATCTTTTTTCTTCAAATGTAATCCATTTTTCGAGAAGCATTTCATTAGCACATCAAAATTCAAAAAGGATATTGACAACCATAATGCTTTACAACAATTCAATGATTTGATCCTCAGTATATTTACTCACAATAATCACAAAGAAATATTATATTATATATGAGCTTGTAAATCCAAATGATACATTAACATTATTATATGAATGGGCGCTTACTCTAACTTGGGAATCTTGATGATGATTAGATTTAGATTTGTTTTAGATAATAGAATGTAGTAAATTAAGCACCTACTTGTAAAAATATACAATCTTCGTGGAGGTGATAATTTGGCACAACTAATTAAACA